ATAATCAACGGAACGAAATCGTGGACAACGAATGGTTTTGAATCCAAAGCATTAGTCCTATTCGCATCTACCGATAAATCAAAAAAACATAAGGGAATCAGTTGCTTTTTGTTGAAAAAAGATTTTCCAGGTAATTAAATGATAATAGCAATAATATTATAATATGTATGTGTTGACACTGTTATGCATAATAAATTATAATAGTATACTATAGTATCTCATATTATATTATTTATCTCGTATCTGTATGTGTTTATATATATTTTTTCAGGGTTATTCGTGGGGAAAAAAGAAGACAAATTGGGTATACGAGGGTCGTCGACGTGTAATTTGGTACTCGAAGACTGCCCCGTGCCCGAAGAAAATGTCTTAGGCGACCTGGGAAAGGGTTTCAATTACGCGATGATAACTTTAGGTTAGTATTATAATATAATAGATCGAAATGCCTAATAGAACTTGGGTCAGTATGAAATATAAACGTTGAAAATAATATGCTGCTGTGTGGTACCTATCTATAATAATTATAGCTATTTGGAATTATCATTATCGATATGACTGATATGAGTATGCAATCATTTCTTATGGTTTTGATGGGTTTTAGACGCGGGCCGTATAGGAATCGCCGCCCAAGGTTGTGGTATCGCCCAAGCGTCGTTGGAACTAGCTGTTGATTACGCTTCTAAAAGGATCTCGTTCGGAGCGCCCATCGCCAAATTGCAATCTATACAGGTATGTGCACAGCGTTTTTAGGTGGATAATGCACACGACTTTAATATGTCCTCTGTGGTCAAGATGACGCGGAAAGACGGTAAACTACGCATGTCTACGTTTATGCATGTTATATATTTTTCATCAGAACAAAATCGCAGATATGGCGTTGAGGGTGGAAAGCGCTAGACTTTTGACGTGGCGTGCGGCTTATCTTAAAGACTCTAACGCGTCACACACGAAAGTAATGTACCTATTGTTTTATTATAATAATACCTATTCGTCCTATTCAGTCACAAAGAGTAGCAAAAAATATATGGCGATTTTCACTTTTCAGGAAGCCGCCATGGCCAAGTTGGCGGCGTCTGAGGCCGCTACGTTCAACGCGCACCAGTGCATACAGGTGTTGGGTGGCATGGGTTACGTTTCAGACATGCCGGCCGAGAGGTATTACCGTGACGCCAGGATAACGGAGATTTACGAGGGCACGTCTGAGATCCAGAAGATAGTGATCGCTGCCAACGTGTTCAAAGAGCACGGATTATAGACAAGAATAAATTAGTGTTATACCTATTATATTRTTATATTATATGAATATATTATGTTTTAATTGTTAAACATATTTAATAAAAAATGTATATTATTAAGTGTCTAATGGTGCTATATGAGTACAACAATTTAATGAGTTTACAATTATTAATTACTGTACCTAATATACCTATTGGCTATTATGTAGGTACGTAGTCTTACGGTCGACTCGGTATTTGCTATAATAATAAGTAATAATATACATGATATATAAATATATCAATACTAAACTACGAATCCATCATGAAGAACTCATCATYGGGATTCGGAATACGAAGTTTTTATTGTAAAACTTTCTGACTTYAGGGGGGCGGGGCTAGAGATTATGAGCCTGTGTAMATAGCATCTGTTTGTTTTTCGGACTCCTATATGAATTAAGACTAACTAGTTAAGTTAGAAATAAGTTATTTAAAAAGTAACCGCACCAGCTTTGAGTGTAGATTTGTATTGGAGTAGGTATAGTAACCTTTCAACATGAATTGGTACGGAACTAATACGTATACAATTTTCCTCATTGAGCCCATCGGCCATCGCTTCGGTTGGGAACCCTAAGTTAAATGTGTTTTTTTTTCTAAGTGTGTCTGTTTAAAGAGTATCCAGTATCCACTATGTTCAAATAGCTAATGTTTGGCGCCAAATTTTCTTGTTTATACAATATCCATGGAATCCACGTCCAATGAGATTCAAGYAGTCCGTAAATTGAACGTGAGGTTTCCACTATCAACTTTACATCATTGCTCCGCGCCGCTGATAAGCAGATAAGGGCAGTGGCAACTACTGCAGCGGTACTCTTGCCACACAACTACACAAGGCTCTAACAATTTTTCGTCTCCATAATGATTTATTGTTTTCGCTAATCGCGATWAATTTTTTTTTTTGCCGCGGCGGTACTTACACTCGAATATTGCCTGGCCCTTTGTTGTTTTATTTATTTATATATTTATTTTTTGTACCATTATTTTTTGAAAATAAAAATTTTACCAAAATTTCAACAACCGTGTGCACGGCAGTGGCTGCTTGATAAATTTWAATTCATCAAACATGTGTTCGTTGTGGTAAAAAAATTYGAGTGGTGTCCGCTGGAAGTTGTGTCATAATAACATCGCCATGTCCGATTCCACAAATTCGTCGTTGAGTTTTCTGTCCAACTGGAAGTTCAGTTTGGCCGTCTGCGTACCGTGTTTCGCTGTGGGCTTGGGAGCAACTTATTATTTTTACTCAAAATCGAATAATAAGAATCGGCTACCTCATGAGCCAACAGCCAAAAATCGGGACATCGACGGAAATAATGCCACTCTAAACCAACTCAAGACTAACGGAATTGATTCCAATACAGTCAAAGTTAACAAACCGGTTAGTCTATTTATCTTATTACCTACATTTTTGTTACAAATATTAAATCATATAACTCAAAATATTGTATGAACRATTATGTTGATTGTTAATTATTATTGTTGATACAAATTTAATTTTTGWTCGAATGTATTTGTACAGACTCCTTCTGAACAAGTTGAAGAATTTAAAAAGCAGGGGAATGCAGAGTTTTCAAAACAAAATTATGATTCTGCCATCACGTTTTACACACAAGCCTTGTCAATATGTCCACTGTCTGAGAAAGGACTTTTGTCCACTGTGTATCAAAACCGAGCCGCTGCCTATAATAAATTGGTAATGAAAATTATTTATCAACTAACAATTATTTCAAACAAATTTAAATTAATTCTTCAATCTATTTTTAGAACGATTATGAGAATTGTGTGGCTGACTGCGACAAAGCCTTAGCCTTAGTACCATCTTACAAAAAAGCATTATCCCGAAGAGCTAGAGCTCTTTCAGAATTAGGAAATTATAAACTAGCTTTAGAAGATATCACAGCTGTTGTAATGTTGGATGAGTTTAAAAACCAAACAGATATAATKTTTGCAGATGGTGTAATTAAAAGTTTGGGTAAGATTATAATATTATAAGATAATAAAAAATAAGAATGTTTTACAATTTTAGGCATATTCAAATAAATGGTTTAAAAAATAACTATTAGGTACAATTTTGTTTATTAATATTTAGTTATTAAGTGGACGTCAGTTCATTTTTTTTTGTTTCTCTCTAACCCTAGTGCAACATAGCAACTTTTATGTTCAGAATAATGATAACAATCATAATATTTTCTAAAATTAAATAATATTTAAGGTTAGATTATTATCTAGAAGATCTTATAGACTTTTTATTATATTTTATTAATTTTAAAACAAGGTATGATAATTTTAAGATACTCATATCTCACTTTGAAAATAAAGTATAATAAGTGGTCATTTCACTCTAATTTTAGAAATTATTATGATTTATGATTGTAATCATTATTGTGAATGTTATCTGTGCTATGTTACACATGGGTCAGAAAGAAGAGAAAAATAAGCTGATATCTTCTTAGTTCTTTAGATACATATACAATATTGTTTAAATAAATTATCACCAATTATAATAATATATGATTGAATTATGTAATAACTAAGAAGATATAACTTAAAAACCAACCGCTCAAAAAATATAAAATATTTGTTAAAAATGGCTTTGCTTAAACATGCGATATTTACATTAATATATAAATGTACATTTAGGTAAGCAGAACTTAGAAGAGTACGTAAAACACAATGCTTTCAATTTGCCCACTAAAATATTTATTGAAAATTATTTGAAGTCATTCAGTGAAGATCCTTTTAATGATGAATTTCCTCAAACATTAATGAAATCAGAAGTAAAGTGAGTTGGTTTTAAATTATAAATTATGATAATTTTTGTATTATACTTTTATAAAAACATGTGTTACTACTTACATTTTTTACTGTACTTATTTAGTACTGGTTTAGAATTGGCATTAAAATGTCTCAAAGATAAAACCTATGAAMAAATTGAGGATGCTTGTAAAGAAGAATTGAATAAGACTGATAATAGTTTAATTCGTCGAACCTTGGCGTTAAATCTGCTCGCCACTTTTTCAATACTACGCGGAAACTATGCATCTGGGGTTGAACATCTCACTGCTGTCATAGAATCATCAGGAGTTCCAAATAAGGTATAAAAATATAACACCCTAAACATATTCATAGTTKCTAATTTCTATCAAACAGAGATGTACTGTCTTTTTTATATTTAATACTTCTTATTTTGTAATTTTAATATTGAATATTAGGACTCAGATTTTGATGCATTTGCATCTTTTTTTCTGGAATTCTTAACACAATGTTGGTATTAGTGTAGCGTAGCACATGCTACACTAACACCCAATGCTTTCCAAGGTACAGATGTGTTTCAAGTACACACTATACTAASAACAAACTTTTTTTGAGACATTTTGCAAAGTTTTAGATTTTATTATGAATTGTCWTTAGTGCTATTTGTGTATATGGGTTTGTTTCATTTGAAAAACAATTTTGCACTCAACATGTTCTACTTTAATAACAATATTTTTCAACTATATCTAAATAATATCAGATATCTTATCTTAGTTATAGTCAGAGGCGGATTTATCTTTTTTACGGCTATAGGCACCAACAATTTGTCGCTCCTATAATAGGTGAAAAAGCTACAATACCCCTCCAAAATACCTACTCTAAATATTTAATATATAGACAATAGTWGTGGACATCCATTTTAATTTTTAGACTATTTTTTTCGCCTGAAGTTATTTAGCCTACTTTGAAAAAAATGACAATGGTTGTTCACTGAATTTGAATAAAAACCTACAATGATAATTTTTATTAATTATAAACCATCATTCATCAATAATA